CCTCTCTCTGCTGGTCTCCTGATCTGGGGTTGGAGTGGGTGGAAACAGACCAGCAGGAAGAATGATGTCACTTGGCATGAAGCACTTTCAGGGTTGGGAAATCCGGGCCTTTGAGTCTACAACTCAATTTCAGTGTTTTATGGCCCACATATTGTACTTTCAACAGGGCCTGGCCACCTACAGAAAAAAATCTGAAGTCAGCATTCAAGATCTTCCACACTGTGGACTTGCCTACCTTTCCTTAAATACCTTCTACACATACATACATATACACACACACACACACACACACACGTATACACTCATCCTGCACAAAAGAGTTAAATGGACTGTTAACTCTTCCCCAAACAAGCTCAGCACTTTCTCAGTTCCCTCTACCGGGAACCTCAATCTTAATTAGCTGGTATCTGAATGAGTCCTTAGACACAGCAAATGGTAAATGTCGCCCTTCTCACACGCCCCTCCTGGCCCTGTGCTTCTGCAGCTTTTGTGTGTCTGTGCAACATTAGAGTTGTGTGTGTAAAGTCTGTCTTCCATATTATCCGCCCACAGGGTTTCCGACCAGCTTTTTGTGTGTCTGTGCAACATTAGAGTTGTGTGTGTAAAGTCTGTCTTCCATATTATCCGCCCACAGGGTTTCCGACCTACCCCTTCCTGTTTTTTTTCCTAGGTCTGAGCACAGTTGCCTGGCACAGGATAGGCATTCAATTTCATCTTGGGGTGGTTTACACACAATGGGTCTTTCTATAATACAAAGTATTTTCTTCTTCTTTTTCAACACACTCTCCTTCCTCAATTTTCTTTCTCCTCCTCAGACTGGACATTTCAAATCCAGTTCCCGCTTCACATATTCAGAGCTGGAGGCTTAAATCACCAACTTCTGCAAATCTTAGCAAAGCCCAGCAGATCAATTCGGGGCAGCCTCTTATCAATATATAGCCATGGCCCCCACCTCTGCACTGTCAGGGCCACTTGGGTCCTAGTTCTGTCCGTAGGACAACATGGGACTGTAACCTACAACTCCTGGCAAGCAGACAGTGAAGAGGCAGGATGTATGAGCAGCCTTAGGACTCTGATTTCCTCTGAGCTGAGGGTGTGCAGCCTGGGTGTGGCAGGGAAACAAAGGGCATGGACCAAGGGCTCCAAGTCACAGCCACTCCCTAGAATTCGAGCTTTCTACACCACACCTGGGATAAAACTCAGGCCACTTGGGTGCTCCTAACTTGCGGTCTAACAAGGTTGAACTCAGCTGGCTTAAAAGCTTCAAGGTGGGCTGGGCACGATGGCTCACGCCTGTAATCCCAGCCCTTTGGGAAGCTGAGGCTGACAGGTCACTTGAGATCAGCAGTTGGAGACAAGCCTGGCCAACATGATGAAACCCCGTCTCTACTAAAAATAGAAAAATTAGCCCAGCATGGTAGTGGGTGCCTGCAATCCCAGCTGCTCAGGAGGCTGAGGCAGGAGGTGGAAGCTGTTCTGAGCAGAGATCCTGCGATTGCACTCCAGCCTGTGAGATAGAGCAAGGCTCCATCTCAAAACAAAACAAAACCAGCTTTAGGGTGTACCCTAGGAAAGGAGATTTGGAAGTAATCTCAGTGGAACCCAGGCGAAGAACAAACAAATATGGGCATCTCCTGACCCCTACTGCTGACCTGTTCCTTGACAAAGTAGATGAACTGCCTCTGGCAACAGCAGAAGAAAAAACAGACCAGGCAGTGAATGAGTGGAATTTTTTTAAAGAACTGGAATTTCCTTTGGTGTGACCTACAACTAGAATAGGGTGTGGCACCAGGGAAAATGAAGTAAGAGGATTTGTGTGTGAGAAAAAGAGGAACATTGCATTTCTATTTCATCCTCACAGATGAATCTAAGGCAACTGAAGACACCGTAACTGTAAGCAAAACTTCCTTGAGGTAGGCAAATGAAGCTCAGGTCTGTGGAACAGTTGGATTAAAGGGGACATGAACCCCCAGCAAGTTTGGAAACTAGTATTAATTTGAGAAAATACAGTTTAAAACCCCACAATTCACTTACTTTGTCTCTTTCTTTCTCTGCTAGATTTGAGGGTGTGGAGGGGAGAGAGGGTCTGTTTTGTTCACTGCTGTATCCCTAGTGCCCACAACTGTGAGTAGAACATAGTAGGTGAGGCTGGGCGCGGTGGCTCAAGCCTGTAATCCCAGCACTTTGGGAGGCCGAGGCGGGTGGATCACGAGGTCAAGAGATCGAGACCATCCTGGTCAACATGGTGAAACCCCGTCTCTACTAACAATACAAAAAAAATTAGCTGGGCATGGTGGCGCGTGCCTGTAATCCCAGCTACTCAGGAGGCTGAGGCAGGAGAATTGCCTGAACTCAGGAGGCGGAGGTTGCAGTGAGCCGAGATCGCGCCATTGCACTCCAGCCTGGGTAAGAAGAGCAAAACTCCGTCTCAAATTAAAAAAAAAAAAAAAGAACATAGTAGGTGATTAGTATGTTGCAGAATAAATAGTGTTTAAAGCAGCCCACTAGAGCCTGAGACTCCTTTTGTGACACTCCCACTCTCCCTTAATGAAAAATGGTCCCGCAGGCTCCGGGCTCTGCACAAGTAAAGCGTGAGAACAAAGGCTCGTGACAGCAATTCGTTAGTGGCAGCTTCTAGGCCCGAAGGTGCAGGAAGACCCTACTGCCCTCAAAATCAATAGCAATTACAGAAGCATATTCTACTATGCCAGGAAAACTACTTAAATCAGAAATTAGCCAGGAAAACTAACGGCCATGACTGCAAGCCTAATGTCAATCAATACCATAGGTTAATAGCTCAAAGACACAAGATGTTAAATATTGAGACTTCAGTGCAAGACTGGGCCCCTAATCAGAGTCAGTGAGTCAGCAATATTTCCTGGGCATTTACCGCAGGCAGGCTACTTGGCACTGCAAGAAATACAAAATCTAGGCGGTCTCCAAATCATAACCCTCCAACTGGAAAAATGCACATAGATGGTCACACCCTTCCACTGCAGATTCAACAGACTCTTTTGGAGAAACCCTTGAAACCTTTCGATAATAGACGGACTTAGAAGAAGGGAAGAAATCAAGGACACCTTGGCTGTCTTGGTCTTACCTAAAATATTCCTTGATATTGCCTGAATATTACCACTTTCTGATTCCATAGCTTTGAGTTCTAAAAATTATACATCTGTTTAGGTGAATGAGGTTTTTTTTTAAAAAAATTATTTTACGTATTTATTTTTTGAGACTGGTGTCTTGCTATATTGCTCACACTGGCCTTGAACTCTTGGATTCAAGGGATCCTCCAGCTTGAGTAGCAGGGACTACAGGCCCCAGACCACACCCAGTATTGTTTTTTTGAGTAACTCCTCTGGGTTGCTGAGGATCTTTGGACCAGGAACCATTCCTAACTTAATGAATATTGTTTCAATTTGTTAGTCTCTAGCTGGATACGGGTTCGCTGAAATGGGAAGGGGGAAGGAGGAAGGAGGAAGGAATGTGGTGTAACTGGACCAGCCTGGACAGCTGCCTTAACAGGACACAGAAGAACATCTCTATGGAGGTGGAAGGTGAAAAAGAAAGTGGAACAGAGGCAAAGACATAATTTTTCAATTAAATTAATTTACTGTGTCAACCTCAAAAATTTTTTTAAAAGTTCCAGAAAAATATTTCATCGATTTAGTCTTCCTGTACACATACTGTCCCTCACTACCCTCCACCTCCCTACCCACCACCATCCCCATAATTAGGCAGGGCATGTCTTAAATAGGCGCCTTCTGAAATACAGATTCACTGGGAGAGTGCATTCCGCGTACCAAGTCACCAAGTTCCAGACAGGTACAGCAGCACACACGCATGAAGAGAATCCATCGCTACAGTCTGGGGCCCAGGCCCTTGCACACCAACAGCCTGAGGTTCTTGGTAATGGCCCAGCGTTCACCCATGAGGCCACTGCTCTTTTACACACAGACTCAGAACACCCACAGCTTTAAAATGGCAATCAGACTACAAAAATGAGACTTGGCATTTGCACAGCACTTAGTGTTTTCTGTGTGCTTTACACATTTATTTTTGAATGACTTTTCGAAATCTCCAATAGCCCTGTTTGGGTGGTGGTTAGACTAGGCATCCTTAAGCCACTTTCCCAGATAAAGAAAGGTGTTCCTCTCCTTCTCAACAGCCAGCTGATGGAACCCAAGCCCTCCACACCAGCACTGGGGCCAGCTGCACCGAGCGGCCAGGAGAGAGCGGCCCCGGGGCCACGCCCTTTTCTGTACCCTTAGTTCCTGACTCATTGCCACATCACGGCGAGTAACAGTCAGGACAACCCTCCCCACAGAATCATGGAGGACACTACCTTCCTGGGACCAATGTGTTCGACCAAGCGGAAAACTCTCCTGGAAGAGTGAAATCCGAAGTTGCAGTCCTACAAGATAATCTAGATCAAGGGGAGTGAACTGACGCTTTAATGTTTTCTTTTTCGGGGGCAGTGGTGTCTACTCACACTCTCGCCTCTCATCCTCCCACACTGCTCTCCTCCTGCTGGTCGTTCCAACTGCACAAGCGCACGTTTGTTTCGAGTACAGTAACTTAGAACAGATGGGGGCACTTTCCAGAGGGCGGTGGAAAGCCCACCCGCTACATGCGGCTCCCTGGGCGGCCACACCCTGCCTCGCGGCGCCCGGCGCGTCTGGAATGCGGGGCCCCCCTCCCCGCGCCGCGTCGCCCCGGTCCCGAGAGGACTTCAAGGGGAACCCCGACACCCCTCACCTGGGCCCTGCACCCTCCCGGCCTGGGCGCCGGCGGCCCCTCACCCCTGCCCCGCACACCTTGCCCCTGCGCCCCCTCCCCAATGACTCTCCAGTGCGGGTGGACCCTTCAGCCCCCTGCCCCCGACGGCCTCCGGGACACTTCGCCCGAGCCTCCCTGCCAGGCCGTGCCCTTGTTCCCAGCGTCTCCACACCCCGCTAGCGGGCGGCCGGTAGCTGGCAGGCAGGGCGCGCCTCGCTTACCTGGGCCGAGCGGCGAGAGCAGAGAGCGTCCCCAGATGCCGAGCGGAGCCCGCTGGCCTGGGTGGGGCTTTTATACTCGCCTCTTCCTCCCCGAGAGGCGAGGCCCGCCCCGCCCCGCCCCGCCTCTACCCCCCCACCCCCAGCCCGCTCCCACCCCGAGTCAGGGTGACTCACCCCGGCCCGCGGGCCCGCAGGGACCGCGCCCTGAAACGCTCCGGGGCCGCGCCACACGGGAGCGGCCCCCGCACCCCTGGCCCTGCCCTGGGAGAAAGCCCGGCCTAGGCTGCCCGCAGGCCCATAGGAGCCCGGCTTCTTCCTCCTTTCCTTGTTTTACTTAAGTGCCACGTCGAGCTCTCAGCCTCAACTTGGGTTAATAATGTAGCAAGACTTTAGTAGTAGACTCTGGGACTGGTTAAGTAGCTTTTTTTTTTTTTTTTTTTTTTGGCGATAATGCAATGGAGGAAAGAATTGTTCCAAGAAACATAAATCTGGACTCCCCTGAGCTGGGGCTGTTGGCATCTAGCGCCCCATTACCATGGGGCGTCTGCAACATGTCAGCTTAATCTCTGGCCACCAGTTCCCGGGGGGCGCGCCGGGAGGGAGGGAGATTCGCCCAGTGCTGCAAAGCCTGGGCCGCCCCGGCCTCCGAGCGCGCTGGGAAACCCCGAGCGCGGGCTGGGAGACCGAAGCCGCGAGCCAGGATGCCGCCTCAGTCACGCCCCGGGAGGCGCCCCTGTCCCTAGTACGACTGTGCTCTCTCCTCTCCGCGCCCGGGCACCTCTGCGCGGCCTCGTGGCAAGTGGTCCTGGGCTGGGTGTGGCCCATGGCTTTGAACCCGGAGTTTCAACATACTCTTCCCGTCCTTCTTTCTTGACTGCTCTGTGTGTGTGTGTGTGTGTGTGTGTGTGTGTGTGTGTGTGTGTGTGTTTCTTGCAGCTGGGTTTTGTGTGTGTTTCTTGCAGCTGGGTGTGTGTGTGTGTGTGTGGTCTTTCGGCCGTTTAGCCAACTCCCTTGCTTGGTTTTGCTGTTTTGTGCTGTGTGTGTGTGTTTCTCGCACAGCCTGATTGCGTGTGTGTTTCTTGCAGCTGGTGTGTTGGTGGTGGGGGGGGAGAGTGGGTGTGTTTCTTGCAGAGGTTTACCCAACTCCCTTGCTTAGTTTTGTTATTTTGTGCTCTGTGTGTGTGTGTGTGTGTGTGTGTGTTTCTTGCACAGGCTGGTTGTGTGTGTTGGTGTGGGTGTTTCTTGTAGCTGTTTACCCAACTGTCTTGCTTGGCTTTGCTGTTTCTCGATTTTCCTCCAAGAGTCACGTTGGCAATGTGCGGGCTAACACGTATTCGTTGTACGTGTGACGACGCAAATACTGTATTCAAAACCTCAAACTAGCAGGAAAGCTATGGTGAGAATCCCGAGGACCTCTCACAGCGTCTTTTAAATCCTTCCTTGCACACTCACTTCCTGCAGCTTTTTTCTGGTTTTGAGGATTCTGTGTTTTAATCTCCCATTTCTCTTAACGTCCATTTTTACTTTCCAGTTGAGCGTCAATTCATTCCTGGGAATCAGAGAATGATAAGGCCAACAGACCTTCAGTGCTCTGCTCACTGTCGTAGAGTGAGACAGGGGAAAGTTGGCCACAACTGGAGTCTCTTAGCAACCCACCCAGAGCTGTTACCCAGCGCTTTCGTGAGGAATTATACACGATGGGCCCTACCGCAGGGCCAAATAGAAAATAAAACATTTTGGGTGCAATTACATTTATAGCTCTTCAATTTAGCCTGAAAGCTTCAAAGGCAGAAACAATGTTTATCTGCCTATTTGGTGTGAACTGTGCTGTGATAGGCCCTTCACAGAAGATAAAATTTAATTCAAATCATATGGAATATATAAAAGCCATCAAATGTCCAAAAGAATTTTGTGCTCATCTTGGGCATGCAGCAATTCCAAATTTTCATAGATTTGTACAATCACCAGGCTTTGCTTCATTCGAAAGAAATGTGCACTGATGTTATCATAAAAATGTAGCTATTAGAAGTCGTAGTTTGGCTGGGCGCGGTGGCGCATACCTGTAATCCCAGAACTTTGGGAAGCCGAGGTGGCAGGATCACCTGAGATCAGGAGTTCATGATCAGCCTGCCCAACATGGTGAAACCCCATCTCTACTAAAAATACAAAAATTAGCTGGGTGCAGTGGCACATGCCTGTAATCCCAGCTACTCAGGAGGCTGAGGCAGGAGAATCGCTTGGGCCTGGGAGGCAGAGGTTGCAGTGAGCTGAGATTGTGCCATTGCACTCCAGCCTGGGGGACAGAGCAAGCCTCCATCTCAAAAAAAAAAAAAAAAAAAAAAAAGAAGTCGTCATAGACTATTTCTGAGGAATGTGAGGCCAGTTCTGCCAGTATAAAAGATCTTTTGAGTATTAGTCAGAGAACTCTATTCCCCGCAGCCCTGCCCCAGCCCACCGCCCCTCCCCACTCCCACCTCCCCCATCCCCCCACCCTCCCCACCCCCCACCACGTTGGGGAAACTATTTACATCAGCACTCAAATTGTCTGCTGTTGTCCATATTGTTCTCTAAGTGCTCGACTTTTTCTTCACACTTTATCTGCTGCGCTCAATACCTCCACTAGTGCCTCGCTAGCAATGGTAGGCACTCACTAAATGTGATAGAATGATAGAATACAATTATTCACTGAATAATAGAATGTTAGAGCAGAGAGGGACCCTAGAGATTAAATTGCCCAATCCTTGATTTTTACTGTTATTATTTGAGATGGAGTTTCTCTTGTTTTGATCTCCGCTCACTGCAACCTCCACCTGCCACATTCAAGCGATTCTCCTGCCCCAGCCTCCAGAGTAGCTGTGATTTACAGGCATGCACCACCATGCCTGGCTATTTTTTTTGTATTTTCAGTAGAGACGGGGTTTCTCCACCTTGGTCACGCTAGTCTCAAACTCCCAACCTTAGGTGATCTGGGCCTCACAAAGTGCTGGGATTACAGGCATGAGCCACCACTCCTGGCCTTTCTGTTTTAGTTTTGGTCTCACTCTGTCACCAAAGCTGGAATGCATGGTATGATCAGGGTTTATTGCAGCCTTGGCTGCCGAGGCTCAAGCAATCCTCTCCCCTCAGCCTCTTGAGTAGCTGGGACCACAGGCCCGTACACCAAGCCCTGCTATTTTTTCCATTATTTGTAGAGATGTCAAGGTCTTGCTATACTGCTCAGGCTGGTCTCGAAGTCCTAGGCTCAGGTGATCCACCTACCTTGGCCTTTCAAAGTTCTGGAATTACAGGCATGAATTACTATACCTGGCCTTGATTTTTATATATGAAGAATTTGAAGTCCAAATAAAATCTTCTGCCCAGTCCAAGTATTAAATAATGCACCCAAGACCCTCTTACCAGTTACCTTTGCAGTATAACAAATTATACCCAAAAACTTAGGGGTTAAAACATAACTATTTACTTGCTTGTGATTCTGCAGTGTAAGCAGGACCCAATGGGGACAGCTTGGTGCTCCTCCTCCGCAGCATATCGGGTTGGGTAGTTTAGTTGGGGATGGAAGATTGAAAGCAGCTTCATTCGTCTGGTGCCAGAGCTGGAATTGCTAGAATGACAGAGAGGAGGCTGGGCCTTTCTCTTCCTTGGTCTTTCATCCTCCAGGTTCTCCTCTTTTGCTGCAACACGGTCATCACGGCAGCCAGCCTTCTAGAAGAAAAAGCTGAAGGTGCTAGGACTCTTGGCTCACAGGCTGTGCAAAAACAAGCGACAGGTGGGATTTCCCCTATGGGTTGTAGTTTGCTGATCCTTGTTTTAATCCATTGCTCTACTCAAATTTTGGCTTTACCCTCTGACATCGAGGCTCCTCCCTTTGAATGTATTTCCTTTTCTTAAGAATGGCCCATATTTGTAGCTGAACAGCTCTCTCCGTCTGCTTCATTCATGCCAGTAGAAAGTGAAAGGTCTAGAAACCTCTTTTCATTTTGAACTATTTCTGGTTTAAGGTGGCAGTTCTTTCATTAATACAAGTATCTTAAAAACCGTGTGGATTTTCTATATCTTATTAAGGTTCATACTATGCTCCAAAATTAACATACAATTTTCTCAAAAACTTTATGTAAATCTTGCTAAGGTTTAATTCCATGTTCCAAGATTCACATTCATTTTTTAAATAGATCTGTCTCTACGTTACACATCAGGCTGCAGTGGGAAAATGCACTCAAGTTTCTTAGAAGCCCTGGGATGGTCTTCGAAGCACCACAACAAATCTTTCTTGGGGTCTTTAAAAAAATGTTTTTATAGCCATACCTTGATTTGATCTTTCTCCAGATACCATTTCTTACTTTGCAAACATTTCAATGGCTAGAATTCTGCTTGAAAACCAAACAGATCTTTTGCCCTTTAAGCAGCTAAATGAAACCCACTGGCACTTTCAGCATTTTACCTGAAAACCTCCTTGGCTATATCCAGAAGTTCAATGGCACATATTCTATCATTCGTGTCACCTCAGGCAACAGCAATGTCAAACATCCTGCCACTACGTGATACGGTTTGCCTCTTCTCCAGTCCCCTTGTCCATAACAACTCCCTCACTGCTCTTCCATCTTCCACTAACAGTCATCTCTCTAGCTACCAGCTGGCAGTAAAGTCAATGTCACGTATTTTAGGGTTTTGTTACAGCAGCACTCCAAATCCAGGTACCAGTTTATGTTTCATTTACCTATTACCATAACATAGACCTCCTCCAAATCTTAAGGGGTTTAAAACCACCATCACCATTTATTTGTTCATGATTCTGCAAAAGGTGGCGTTCACTGGGTGGGCTCATCTCTGGTCTGTCTTAGCTAGCAAGGTCCAAATGAGGCTGACAGATCCAGAAGGGCCTCTCTCCAGCAGGATAGTTGCTGGCTTTCAAGATGTGAAAGTGAGCCGGGTGCAATGGCTCATGCCTATAATCCTAACACTGTGGGAGGCTGAGGCAGGTGGATGACGAGGTCAGGAGTTCAAGACCATCCTGGCTTGCATGGTGAAACCCTGCCTCTACTAAAAATACAAAAATTAGCTGAGCATGGTGGTGCACTTGTAATCCCAGCTACTTGGGAGGC